CTCCCAACAAAAAAAGCCCTGGCCCGCATGGCTTCACTGGAGAATTCTACCAAACTTTCAGAGAAGAGATAACATCACTTCTACTAAAGGTATTTCATAGCATAGAAAAGAATGGAATACTCCCAAACTCATTCACCCCTCTATCACCACTCTTATTCAACATTGTACTGGAGGTCCTAGCCAGAGCAATTAGGCTAGAAAAAGAAATAAAGAGCAGCCAAATTGGTAGGGAAGAAGTCAAAGTATCTTTATCTGCAGATGATATGATCTTATACACAGCAAACCCCAAAGAATCCACAAGAAAACTACTGGAACCAATAGAAAACTTCAGCAAAGTTTCAGGATACAAGATAAACATACAAAAATCAGTTGCATTCCTTTACACCAACAAAGCGAACCTTGAAGAGGAAATTACCAAGTCAATACCATTTACAATAGCCCCTAAGAAGATAAAATACTTAGGAATAAATCTAACCAGAGAGGTAAAAGATCTATACAGAGAAAACCACAAGACACTACTGCAAGAAACCAAAAGAGACCTGCATAAGTGGAAAAACATACCTGGGTCATGGATAGGAAGACTCAACATTGTGAAAATGTCAATTCTACCCAAAGCGATCTACAGATACAATGCAATTCCGATCCAAATTCCAATGGCATTTTTTAATGAGATGGAGAAACAAATCACCAACTTCATTTGGAAAGGGAGGAGGCCCCGTATAAATAAACCATTACTCATGAAGAAGAACAAAGTGGGAGACCTCACACTACCTGATTTTAGAACATGTTATACTGCCACGGTAGTCAAAACAGCCTGGTATCGGTACAACAACAGATACATAGACCAATGGAACAGAGTTGAGAATCCAGACATAAGTTCCTTCACACAGGAGCAGCTGATATTTGATAAAGCCCCAAAGTCTATTAATTGGGGAAAAGACAGTCTCTTTAACAAATGGTGCTGGCATAACTGGATAACCATTGGCAAACGAATGAAACAAGACCTATACCTCACACCATGCACAAAAAATAACTCAAAATGGATCAAAGACTTAAATATAAAATAAAAAATGATAAAGATCATGGAAGAAAAAATAGGGACAATGCTAGGAGCCCTAATACATGGCATAAACACAATACTAACAATAAGTAACAATGCACAAGCACCAGAAGAAAGACTGGCTAAATGGGAGCTCCTAAAAATCAAACACTTATGCTCATCAAAAGACTTCACCAAAAGAGTAAAAAGACAACCCACAGACTGGGAAAAAACTTTTGACTGACAAGTCCGATCAGCATCTAATCTCTAAGATCTACAAGATACTGCAAAACCTCAACAACAAAAAGACAAATGACCCAATTAAAAAACGATCAAAGGATATGAACAGGCACTTCACCAGAGAAGATATTCAGGCGGCTAACAGACACATGAAGAAATGCTCACGATCATTAGCCATTAGAGAAATGCAGATCAAAACTACAATGAGATATTATCTCACCCCAACAAGGCTAGCACTAATTCAAAAAACACAAAATAATAAATGCTGGAGAAGTTGTGGAGAGACTGGAACACTTATACACTGTTGGTGGGAATATAAAATGGTACAATCACTTTGGAAATCAATTTAGCGTTTCCTTAAAAAGCTAGAAACAGAAGTACCGCTCCTTGGAATATATCCTAGAGAAGTAAGAGCCGTCACACAAATAGATATATGCACACCCATGTTCACTGCAGCACTGTTCACAATAGCAAAAAGATGGAAACAACCTAGGTGCCCATCAACGGATGAGTGGATAAACAAATTATGGTATATTCACACAATGGAATACTACGCAACAATAAAGAACAATGATGAAGCCATGAAACATCGTATAACATGGAGGAAGCTGGAACTTATTATGCTGAGTGAATTTACTCAGTCACAGAAGGACAGATACTGTATAAGACCACTATTATAAGAACTCAAGAAAAGGTTTAAACACAGAAGAAAATGTTCTTTGATTGTTACAAGGGTGGGGAGGGAGGTTGAGGGTTATTTACTAACTAGATAGTAAATAAGAATCATCTTAGGCAAAGGGAAGGACAACGCACACTACAGGGGAAGTCAGCACAACTGGACTAAACCAAAGCTAAGAAGTTTCCTGAATACTATCAAACACTTTGAGAGACAGCATAGCAGGGGTAGGGGTCTGGGGAACATGCTTTCAGGGGACATCTAGGTCAATTGGCATAACAAAGCTTATTAAGAAAATGTTCTGCATCCTACTTTGGTGAGTGGCGTCTGGGGTCTTAAAAGCTTGCAAGTGGCCATCTAAGATGCATCAATTGGTCCCAACCACTTGAAGTAAACGAGAACAAAGAACACCAAAGACACAAGGAAAATATTAGCCCAAGAGACAGAATGGGCCACATAAACCACAGACTTCATCGGCCTGAGACCAGAAGAACTAGATGGTGCCCAGCTACCACCAATGAACATCCTGACAGGGAACACAACACAGGGTCCCTGATCGAGCAGTAGAACGATGGGATGCAGAACTCAAATTTGAGTAAGAAGACCAGACTTAATGGTATGACTGAGACTGGAGGCGCCTTGGAAAGCATGGCCCCTGGACTCTCTATCACCCCAGAATTAAAACAATTTCCAAGGCCAACTCTTCAGACAGGGATTGGACTGGACTGTGGGACATAAAGTGATACTCATGAGGAGTGTGCCTCTTAGCTCAAGTAGATACAAGAGACTAAACACACAGCTTCTGCCTGGAGGTGAGATGGGAAAGCAGAGAGGGTTAGGAGCTGGTTGAATGGACATGGGGAATCAGGGGTGGAAAGGAGGAGTGTGCTGTCACAGAATAGGGTGAGCAATTAGGGTCACATAACAATGTATGTATAAAATTATCTATGGGAGACTAACTTGAAATGTAAACTTCATTTAAACTACAATAAAAAAAAGTAAAAAAGAAAAAGCAAAGAAATGCTTTTCAAGTCATGATAAATGTATGAACAGTAATTTAAACCCCCTCCTGGTGATACCAGTACACAATTCTGTATTTGTACAGAAAAGAGCCCTCAGCTACAAATGCCCTCCAGGTGAGCAAATGCCCACAGTTTCCCAGAAAGGAAAGTAGCTGACCAATGGGAGCTGCCACAGTTCGGTGGGGCCACTAAACCCCCAGTTCTAAACAAAGGGCTGAGGACAGAAGTCTCGGCTCAGTAGTCCTGGGATCAGGAAACTTTGATGAGGAAGGGGCCCCAGCGCTTGCCAAGCCCACATGCCTCATTTTATAGATAAGGAAACAGAAGTTTGGGGAGGATGTGATTCATCCCAGGCACAGAGCAGCAAATGACAAAACCGAGACACAACCCCTGGTCTCCAGAATCCTCCCTTACCTACTGCACTTTAACTACTCCATGAGGCCAAGTCTAGAAGAAACTGGGGCTGCAGGGTTTTTAAATGTTTGTTTTAACAAACACTTGCACAGCGCTTACCATGTACCAGGCACAGCACGTTACAAGCATCATCTCATTTAATTCTCATAGCTCCTGTGAGGTAAGAACTACTATTATCCCCATTTTACGGAGAAGGAAACTGAGGCACAAAAAGGTTAAGAAGCTTGCCCAAGATTACAGAGTGAGTAATTGGCAAAGCCAGATTCAAACCCAGGCCACCTGGGTCAAGGTGGAAAGGAGGCCAGAGAAGAGCAATTGCTATAATAAACGGACCTTCCAATGGCTTTGTCTCTGGATAAAAGCCAGCAACGTTACAGTGGCCCACGAAGCCCCATATATTCTGCACTGTTTTCCCACGCACACAGACTTCACGACCTCTCCAGCCTCATTTCCCACCACAGCTCCCTCATTCACACCCCTACGGTCACAGAAGCCCTTTATTGCTCCTCAGACATGTCAGGTAGGCTCCAGCTTCAGGGCAGTTGACCTTATTTCTCCTTCCACCTAGAACACTCTTACCCAATATCCCCAATATCACTCTCTCACTCATTTCCCTGGGGTCAATCTTCAAATTTAACCTTCGCAAACAAGGCCTGCTCTGATGCCCCATTTAAAAGTGCAAACTCTGTGCTGGCTTCGGCAGCACATAAGCTAAAATTGGAACCATACAGAGAAGATTAGCACAGCCCCTGCACAATGTGTGACATGCAAATTTGTGAAGTATTCTATATTTTTGTGAGAACGGTTGTACAACTTGAAAAATGTAATCAATGTCATGGAATTGTACATGTAGAAACTTGAATTGGTGTATATTTTGTTGTGTTATGTTTTAAACAACAAAAAACAAAATAAATTATTAAAAATTAATTAATTTAAAAAATAAAAATAATAAAACTGCAACCTCTAGCCAACATATCCTAACCCCCTTCCCTGTTTCATTTTCCCGAGAGCATTTATCATCATAAATGGACTTAAGGGTCACTGGGTGCTGCAAACGGTTTGCTCTTGGCTACTACCTGAAAAGTTGGTGTTTTGAATTCACCCAGCCAGCAGCACTGCGGAAGAAAGCCCTGGCAATCTACTTCTGAAAATCAGCCACTAAAAACCCTATGGAACACAGTTTTACTCTGCAGCACGTGGGGTTGCCATGAGTCAGAGCCAACTCCACGGCAAAGAACAACAACAAGCATGCTGCCTGCTTCAAGTTTCCTCCCTGACTGCCTCACATTGCCACTAAAGCACCGAGCTGTATCCTCACCACCTAGAACGTTATTGTCAGAGCAGCAGACTCTCAGTGATTATTAGCTGAAAAAATGAATACATAGTATCCACCTGCACTTAACAATTTGCAAAGCTCTTACACAAATATTTCCCACTTGATTTTCACAAAATAACTGAAAATGGCTTAGAGGAATCACATCAGGAAGGTTTGGCTTTACATCTCCCACTGATCCAAGTGTGTTCTCAGTAGCCTGAGGCATGGCTTATCATTTCCAGGGAGATAAGGAGGCAACAGGACCATTAAACAGCACCAGGATACTCAGGCCTGGAAGCCTGGGAGCACACACATCCTGCTGCTTCCCTAGTGAAAGCCTGCAGGCAAGCCATATTTCAGAAAATGGAAATCCTTTTCCATTTGCTTCACGCTGAGACTAAAACCAGCCCCCTGGTTTGTGAGACAGGCAGTCACTGAGACACTCCTGGTTTTAGAAACTCCAGTATTACTCATCTGACTTCAGATGCAGAGATACCCTTTGCTGCCTTCTCTGGGTGCATCAACTACAGCCTAAAAGACAGCTCTCACTGTAAACAGGGGATCGTTATGTCCTCAAATTCATGTTTTATTCTCCACTTCAACAATTCTCACCAACCTATCCAGATTTCATCCATTTTCAGTAAAAAGCAGCTCAAACGACACCTCTTCAACAAAGCCTGGTCTGAATTTACCTCCTCCCCCAACTCCCTACCCTGCTCTAAAATTCATATCTTTTCATTCAATTCCCACAGCATGTTGTACCACTATTATTACATTCACCTTGTGCTACTTTTTAATGAGGTTTCTGATGTATATCTTCATCTCCTACTACACATACTGAAGCAGTGGTAGCTCAGTGGTTGAATTCTCGATTTTAATGCAGACCTGGGTTCGATTCCTGGCCAATACACTCCATGTGCATCCACTGCCTATCTGTCAATGCAGGCTTGCATGTTGCTATGATGCTGAACAAGTTTTAGCAGGGCTTCCAAACTAAGATGGACTAGGAAGAAAGGCCTACCAATCTGCTTTCAAAAATCAGCTTATAAAAACCTTTTGGGACTTCTGGGAAACATCGAGCTATAGACAGAAGCACCACACTGTCCCTCCACAACAAAGATCAGAAAAACTAAGTCAAACAGAGACAAACGTCAATCCTGAAACCCTAAGCATCAAATGAAGAGATAAAGAACTGAGCCAAGCACCGAATGGAGTAAGAAACGAACAAAGAACAGAGACTGAGGAGAGATACATGGAGAGGTCCCGTATCAGCTAACGCAGCATGGATCCGCCATCTTGGACTGCTGTCAGAGTTTGACGAACAGGGAGTATGGGAAAGCAGCTTCATGGAGCTCCCAGCAGGAGACAGAACAACCAGAAATCATCTATATATGCTTTCCCACCCCCGACCCTTCTTCACCCCTACTTGGGCTCCTCTGCTACCTGTGGCCACACTCTCTTGGCCAGGAAGCACCTACTTCACCCCTGTGCTGATGGATTCCACCCACCCGCACTACCCAGCTCCCTGAATGTCATTTGTTGGTTGGCAGGTGTTCCTTTTTTCCACTTCTTCTGGTTTCTTCCACACCTCCCCATCCGTTCTCACAAATACCTGGCTCTGTGTGCCATCTTTGCTTCTTCCTGAAAGGCTGTGAATTGCCACTCAACTGCAGAACTACTTGCCGGCCTATGCAGCCACTCCGGTGGGATCACCGGGGCTTTTTGTTTGTTTGTTTGTTTTGATTTGTTCTCTTTTGATGTGTTTTTCTTTTTCTTTTCTCAGCTTCGGAGCCTCTTCTAGCCAGGCAGTACTGCACTGCTTGGGAGCTACTCTGAGTTTGCGCAAGCATGCAGTGGGATCACAGGGGGCATTTCTTTTTTCTTTGTTTTGTTTTCTTTTCTCTTTTTCCCTTTTCATCTTTCTTCATTACTCAGTTTCTCATACCTCTGTACTTACCTTCTCTTCCTGTCTCCTGAATACCTGGCACTGTGTGAAACCTCTACCCCTTCTAGCCAGGATGTACTTCATGGCCTGGGAGCAATTTCCCCAGTCCTTGCAGCTGCACTAGTGGGATCCCTGAGAGCTTTACTTTTCTTGTTTTTTTCTTCTCTAATTTTTACTTATTCATTTTTTTCATTTACTTTTTTTCTTTTGTTTTTTTTTTTTTTTTCCATTTCTCAGTCTTTAATCTCTCCACTCCAATGGTAAGTTCCTTAGCACTCTTTTTTTGTTCGTTCGTATGTTTTTGGCTCTTGTTCCTCTCTCCTCTTCTCCTCTTTCCCATACCCATCTTAGCTCTACACATCACAATCTCCCTCCTGTTTCCTGCCTACCTGCACAGTGCACTGAACATCACACACCCAAGCAGCACAGGCACAGCCTACTGGAACCTACACTGCACTGATTCCAGGCCTGCCCTATCAGCCCTAGTATATGCCACAAACAACCAATCCCAGCAACTCTCCTTTACCTGGACCTGCCCTGCTGTACCATACTGGAGCGACTGACCCTGCCCGTTGGAGAAAGAGGCGAAAAGTATCCTGCCCACAGACAAGAAAAAACAAAGAATGCACAGCCCACCTGTTCAGACATAACAAAATAAAACAAAAAATCAGGACGAAACAAAGAAATCTACAATCAATAAACGAGGAAAGTAACTTCTGAATGTTCCAAAGACAGCAAACCATATCAAAACATACACAAAAACAGGACAGGATGATTCCAGTAGGCATTCATAATAAAACACCAGATGACTTTCCAGTAGAATAAAAGGCACTAAAACTACCTAATAGGGAATTCAAATCTCCAATATTCAGAGCTATCCAAGAGTTGAAGTAAAAAGCAGACAAAAATGAGGAAAACATAGACAAATTCATGCAAAAGGCAGACAAATTCATGGAAAATACAGCCATAAAAATGGAAGAATTCAGGAAAAGAATGCATGAATAAAATGCCAAATAAATTCACTAGAAATCATACAAAAACAACAACTGGAAATCCAAAAGATAAACACGAAGATTTCAGAAATGAACAGTGTCATAGAAGGTCTGAGGAGCACATCTGAAATGAAGGAAGACACTGGATACAATTCTGTTTGAGGAAAAATCTGAAAAAAGAACAAAGATAAATGAAGAAACCCTGAGAACTGTGTGGGATAAAATCAAAAGCAAAAGTCTTCAAAGTGATAGGAGTTCCAGAAAGGGGTAGAAAAGAGAAAACACAGGCAGGATCATTGAAGAACTGCTGACAGAAAACTTCCTCAATGTCATGGATTGAATTGCGTCTCCCAAAAATATCTGTCAACTTGGCTTGGTCATGATTCCCAGTACTGTATGATTGTGTACCATTTTGTAAATCTGATGTGATTTCCTTATGTGTTGTAAACTCTATCACTATGATGAGGTTATACTGATGAGGTTTACAAGATTAGATAGTGTCTTAATCGAATCTCTTTTGAGATATAAAAGAGAGAAGTGAGCAGAGACACATGGGAACCTCATACCACCAAGAAAGCAGTGCTGGGAGCAGAGCACATCCTTTGGACCTGAGGTTCCTGTGCTGAGATGCTCCCAGACCAAGGGAAGACTGATGCATCACAAGGACCTTCCTCCAGAGCTGACAGAGAGAGAAACCCTTCTCCTGGAGCTGATGCCCTGAATTTGGACTTGTAGCCTACTGGACTGTGAGAAAATAAATTTCTCTTTGTTAAAACCATCCACTTGTGGTATTTCTGTTAGAGCAGCACTAGATGACTAAGACAACCCCAATATCATGGAAGATGAAAAGCTGACCATCCACGAAGGACAATGAACCCCATATAGGATAAACCCCAAAAGAAAATCACTAAGGCATATCATAAACACACTCGATAAAAACAAAGGATCCTGAGACCAGCTTGAGAAAACAAAAAGTTACATACAGAGGAGAAACAATAAGACTAAGCTTGGATTATTCTGCAGAAACCATGCAGGCAAGAAGACAATGGGATGACATATAAAACCTTGAAAGAAAAAAATTGCTAGTGAAGACTAATATATCCTGCAAAACTCTTGTTCAAATATGATGGTGAAATTAGGTCATTTCCAGATAAACAGAAATTAAGGGACTATGTAAAAACCAAACAAAACTTACAAGAATTATTAAAGGGAGTCTTTCAATCTGAGAACAAACAACATCAGACCACAGGCTGAATCGAGGATGCAGGATCATACCAGCCAGATACCAACCTAGGAAATGAACTCCAAAACCAGAAGAATTACAACAAGGAACAAGACAGGTTAATCTGTAAATGACAACAACATCAGAACAGTAAAAGGGGAAATAAATGGTATAGGTATAGAACACTCCAATGGAGATGAAGACAAAGCGATACCAAGTAATAATACACTGGTTTGAACCTAGGAAGATGAGGGTAAATTTCAAGGTAACCAGAAAGAAAGTTAACAAATCTACTCATCAAAATAAAGAAGAAAAACATAG